ATCACAGAATAATTATTCAACACTTTCGGACGAAACCTTCCCAAAATTATTACATTTTGTTCATAAGATCGAAAAAAAAATGCATCAATTCCTGTAAACCATACGATTCTATCAGCACTTTTCAAAATCAATAGAATAAGAACTTTAGATAGAAACAAAAATTAAGTTTCAAAGTGAGCGGCGTAGTGTTAAACTTTTGCATCTTTTTGTTACGAACGACAGAGGACAGGCTGATCGGCAAGTAAGTACCCTGTCTTCTTTTATTTTACGAAGAAATTGTACCGGTAACGTCATATTTCGAAGACGAGAACATTAAATGTATGTTGCATAACAGTACAGTAAGTTGTAAAGAGTTAATACCAATGTAATAGGGAGTCAGACCAGGATTTTGAATTTGACTACTTCAACTGGAGACGGGTTCCTTATCAATTAAGTCCCCTGTTCATCGACAACTATACATTATAATGAATGAATTAACTTTATGCTCCAAAACGAGAAAACTTGACCATCAGGTGGTTAAGGAAAACTTACATTCCTTGAAGATTTCAATAGAGGTCTTGCATCTGGCCAGCTAAATATTTCAATAAAGGTCTCGTATCTAGCCCGCAAATGTAGTTCTATCTCTCTGCGGACTTCAAGACAATATGAAAAAAAAACTTGTTACTGTTATTTTTGTAAGATTTTATTATCGAAAAGTAAAAAAGGATAACATTTGTTTCACCTGTGAAAAATATACAACAAAAATATATTTTAAATGAAAATTTGCTATGATGTCTTGCTTTTGTTCTTGCGAAAACCAGAGAAAGGGGTTGAAATATTTCTTTAATTTTAATAAGATTATAACAAGTTTTACATTATTTTTTAAATTTCCCAATCCCATATGATCGTCGTTTTAAAAATGTTTGTTGAATAATCACATTTAAATCATTGCGTTGATGTTATTCCTTTGTTCCTGCAGTCTCACAATTCATATTTGGCACTCTGATATTACTCATAATAAAAGACTATCTCAGTACTCATATTCTTAAAAAAAACTGGACTGTTTCAGAACATAAAACATTGAGCACTAGTAGAGCTAGCACACTTTTTAAAAACTTTTTTGGCATGATCTACATAATGTAGATCATGCCAAAAAAGTCATGTAGTCAATTGCATAGCCTTCGTGTGACAGTATTTTGTTTGAGCTTTCCCCAATTTTATATGATCAATGTTTCAAAATAATCATTGCAGTTATGAAATCAAACTATTTTCTGTATCCTACAAAGTTTCTGTAACAGTCCAGTTTTGAAAGATGTCAGTACCGAGACAGTCTGCTCTAGTTTGCAGCAAGCACAATTATTGTTGACAGGAAATAATGTATTCCTGGATTGCTGATTATGTTTGCTTTTCTATTCAGGTGTTAGAAACCAATGTGCAGGGGGACGCCAAACAATCTTATTCCTCGTCAAACATTCTTCTTGTTGTTGGATGACCTTGTCTTTGTTTACCTGGAGGTATCCAGTCCACATCCTCCATATGAGCGTTTGTTACAATAAATCCAGTCAAGAGTCATTTTTTTTATTTTAATGGCATCTTAATGTTATATACTAGTACAGATAGAATTTTCAAGAGTTTGATCTAATTGCTTGTTAAATGACAAGTGGTAAAGGGAATTTTTAAAATTTGTTTATTTTAGGCATAAAATTTCGATTTGTTTCCCATAAAACTATAGCTAGATTCGCAAAGATAAAAGATGCTTCGTTTTTTATGAAATAAACCAAAAGAATATTTCTTTTTTTACCTAATTAACTTACGAAAAACGGTAAACGAAACTTCACAAACCATTAAAAAATAAGTTTGCAGTAGTCAGATAAAAATAAAATATCTTATATGCAATACCGTTCAGCAATCCCCAACACTTGCACTGTTTTAAGTTAAGGAGTTAAATAAATTAATTGAAATGCAGTGTGCAAGTATATTAAATTACCTTTTAAAAAATCAGAAATCAAATACATCTGACAGTTATATGACAAAGGTATAATTTGTTACGTGGTTGAATGTTTGTTTAAAAGCATACGTTCGAGAACTTTTCTCTCATACTGAGACGCCTTTTATTGCCAGTGCATTGGTTGGTTGCATGGTTTCTTATTTACTTAGCATAAATCCAAAAACTTTCACTCTTAATGAGAAGTCACAAATTGCCAGAGGAGAGCTGCACATTTTACCTATACTTGGTATTTCTTAAGAGGCATATTTTGTGCCAGGACCCACGTCGGTACGCGGTCTCCTTTTAATATGAATTCTTTGGAAGGAAAATCTACATTTTCCGCTATTACATCACTGCAGACAGATCACATCATATAAAACATCAATATTACTGGATTTTTGTGGGCAAAAACGCCATTTATCCATAGGTAATGGTATTTAATATATTTATTATAAATATATTTAGTTTTATTATATTTAGAACTTCAATTTTGTTTATTTTCTAAACAATTAAGTCTAACAAGGCCAACCTCCATTTCGTTGATTATAAACAGGTTATTGTATATCAAATTTATTGTATAGCTTCATGATTTTCCCCTTAAATCTAACTTTATTTTGTTTTTTTCTCAACTATTTATTTGCAATCATGATACCGAATTTCATACTGATAACATATTTCTACAAGATTTTCCAGTTATGCGAGTGTTGTAAAAGTAATGTAGATAGAAACTTAACTTAGTGTTCTTCGATGAAAAAAGGTCAAAAGATGTCTTAAAAAGTATGCATGTGATTTTTTAATGCCAATTTAGCCATTTCCATACAGCCATAATATTAAAAAAACTAAATGTTTCTGGAACAGATCTTTGTGAACAATACAATTATTTCCATTGTTTATTTTTTAAAATCATCTTGAAAAATTAAACTACAAATTTCAAATTATAAGACAATTGTTATGATAATGTATAACATTGAAATTTAAGAATAAAATTTACTATTTTGAAAAAGGATTATTACAAAACTACATCTCTCTTTGGATGTCAATTGTGTCAGGATGATAAAAACAAATATCGCTACGAACTTACATGTATATAGATTTTTTTTTAATTGCTAAAATTTAATTTGTTGGACGGCAGGTTGAATATTTTACTGGTCAACTACATTGAATATAGCTATAATTGATTTATTTACAAGAGGTTTGCAGCACTTTTCAAATGTCTTAATGCTTCTTGAGTTCATGTGTAAAAATTTGACAAGATATATTGAGGGTATGCCCTTGCAATAAATCGATTTATTAGGGCCATTCCATTATTTTTTCAATAAATCTGCATGCAAACGCTCGACAGTATCACATGTCTGGAGAATGTACGGACAGTTTATGAATTAAATACAAAATAGGACATCGCATCCGAACGGCCTTTTATTTAACTTCAAGTAATATTTTATTTATGGAATGAAGCTTATTTCAACTTATGTTATCCGATATAACATAACTTGGGGCAGTTTACGCTTTATAAACCGCGAAGCGGTTTATAAAAAAGCGTAAATTGACCCAAATTTTGTTATATCGGATAACATAAGTTGAAATTAGCTTCATTCCTTATAATTTAATTCCAGTGTAGACAATGAGACAATATTTCCACCGGAAAAAGACTTCAAATTGAGCATTATTTTAAAAGTAACGTCAAGCGGAGTAATACGTTTTTGACGTAACTCATTGTGACGTAGGCAAGTTATGTTATCCAAAATATTATATGTTCCTCTGAATGATTCAGCCAATGAAACTGCTTGATACAAGTGAAATTAAATTATTTGAGAACAAAAGACATTGTACAAAATGTGACTCGATCAGCCTGTCACAGTATAGAAACTGCGTCATTTTTGCGATATGACTTCACATTGACAAGTGCATTGCGATCGCTGCATCGTTTATATAATGTTGTGTGGGATTTAACAAACGTCAAAACTGCATGTAATAGTAAGTTTGTATGTAGTATACAGCTATCAAGCTGTTTGGAATAGCAAATAATTTTATTTATGTGTGACGTCATAGTGAACATTTTCCGTACAAATTAGGCCACGCCTCCTTGCTGTAACCTTAACTGTGCTGCGTATTTAAAAAAAAAACATTTTAAAAGTTTAAAATGATAGAAACAGTCAGGAATAGACCGTTTCACGGTAACTGCGGTACTGCTTTTTTGCAGGGCAAAATGATATAGTTTGGTGAAATATGACGTAAAAGTAAAAGTAATTGTTTAAAATACGTCATTTAATTATATATGAACAAAAACTCCGCCAAACGTTATTATTTTGCCCTGCAAAAGTGTAGTTCGTCAGTTATCATGAAGGGGCTAATTAGGAAGTCTAAGGTATCATATATTTACAGTGTATAAGCTCAAACGTCTATAGAAATAATACAGGAGTAGATCAAACAAGGACCTCTAAAACAATAAAAGTAGGACCAGTTGCCATTGAGGAATGATCATCCCCTGTCACCCTCCGTGTGCTCCTTGACCTTGTCATGATCGAGAAATAAAGGAAAAATTTGCAGACAATTTAATGTGTAAATAACAACCTAACAATAAGTATGAAATAGGTCATCGTCATTGACTAAATGATATATGTTGTTGCTGACAAGGTTTAAGTTGTCAATTCTATAAATTATATTACAGTAGAGTATCACACACCACTATAGCTAGTGAATAACACGTGACATGTCTGTATATTTCTTGCAAAAATTGTTCTTAATTTATCAAATAGCATTTATTTTTCCCACAACTTTTAGTAATCTAATTATGATATCTGTAAATTCGGATGCTCTACATTCAAAATGTACCTTTGAAGTACCATGATCAACCGTGTTAGTAATTCTGCTGTTAATTGTAACATATATAGATAAAGTTCATTGTTTGGTCTAATAAAAGGCATAAAATATTATAAAAAATAATAAATAAATTCATAAAACTATTTATTTTGGATATGTTTAAATGTCAAATCATGAAACATTTCTATTTTCAGTCCCACAATTTTTTATAGCTATGGATTCACATAGTAGTTCCGAAGATGACACAGAAGTCAAGCTTGAGTCTACTCCCCTCTACCCTGGATGTGTCTCTCATGCGAAAGAACGATGTGAGATGTTCTGTAAAAACTGTGACACTCCTATCTGTCATACTTGCCTTGCATCCGATGAACATTTAGGTCATAAGTACTCGAAAATCTTGGACATTCTGGATGAAAAGAAAGATTTACTAAAGAAAAGGCAAATTGAATTGAAGGAAACAATTTGTCCAACTTACCAGGAGATTGCAGTGGGTGAACAAAATAGAATAAGGAAGATGGAGAAGGAATATGGAGATCTCTCAACAGGATTAGCAATACACGAAGATTATCTGCACAAAGAAATTGACAAACTTTTCAATAAATTAAAGGCTAAAACAAGTGAAATGAAAAACAAACAGTTACACACTTTACAGAAACATTTGGAGGATATTAACAAAACGCTTATTGAGATTGATGATGAAATTGATGGAATTGATAAAGCTTTACGCTCCAACGACATTTCAACGATTTTACAAGTACTACATAGCTCCAAAATAGATCAGCATAAAAAGCTCCCAAATAAGCTTGTTCCCTCTGCACCCAAATTCACTCCAGGGAAAATTCAAGAAGAAAAACTTTTAAAATTTGTTGGAGTTTTATCTCAATTTAATATCACGATAGAAAAGCATGGTTACAGCATACATGTAAAGGCCGCACAGGAACCACTAGAATTTGGATACCTTTCACAAATCAAATCAAATTCAACGGAAATATCTTCCCCTAATGTAGTTTCATTGAAATCACAAGAAGAAGGATCCTCTCCTCAGGTCTCAAAGAAATTATCACCAGGACCTGGATCCTCTCCTCAAGTCGCAAAGAAATCACCAGGAGCTGGATTCTCTCCTCAAGTTGCAAAGAAATCACCAGGAGCAGGATCCTCCCCTCAAGTTAGAAAGAAATCATCAGGCACTGGATACTCTCCTGAAGTCCCCAAAAAATTTCCAGCAGACGAATACCCCCCTGCTGATGAACAACAATCACCAGATTATGGTTCTACGACCATGTAGGGTGTCCGTAGATACAAATGAAAAGTCACAATAGCTTAATAATATTCAATGTTTTCAGCGTGCAGAAAAGGAATTCTTGCATTGAACTTAATCACGCTGTCTCTTCTAAGTTTCTAAATGTTCACAAAATGCAACATATATCCATGTTTTGTTTATGTTTATATAGATAAAGGCTAAAATATAAATTTTATAAACATTTATGAAGAGCAACGAAATACTAGTATACAATTTCTATATAATTGTTGTGAATGTGTCACAATTAACAATGTTTTTATATTTTCTTTTTTTTTGATTTACTGATAGTGTAGTGTTAAAGTTTATTGTCTGTCGGGGCTTTCTACTGTCTCTATCTGTGTGCATCAAAGTTTAAAATCACAGGATAAAGAAAGAAAATGCTGTACAATATATAATGGTAGCCAATGACCAGTCTGTTCGTCACAGTACAACATAATTATACCTTTATCTATAGTTGTAGGGAATTTCATTACTAAAAATGCTTACTCATGCAGTTTCTTGTTTTTACCGTGGATCAACAGAGGTCAAAAGGTCTGCAATTAGCTATGATACATCTTTGATCCTGAAAAAGCCCATCCATGTCCGGAAAAGATTTTTTTACAGATGAGGTTTTTTAAACAAAAGTAATTTTTATAATCATATTCAAAACACGACCCTTTATAAATAAGTAATGACTCTGCCAAAATGACAATCAAATTTACATACATTACCTATTTGGTATATTTGAAGTGTGTGCAGCAGTAAAAAAAAGAACAATTTCAAACATTTTACATGAGAACTGAGAAAAAAAAAGTACGGAACTGCTTTGCAAGATATCTTCTCTCATTATCCTTGATATTTTAATAAATGCATCATTAAGTAAAGATTCTTTGTTAATATCGTGATATTTTAAATTACCGCAACAACCCTCTCAGGTGCGATGGATTTATTTGCAAAGTAAAATAGGAACGTCTTTTCTCATTTCTTGTACATCATAAATGTTTTGCAATGTGAATTCGTTTAACTTACATATTTCCAATACTTGACTGATACAATAAAAATACTGGTAATGGATTCAACACCCTTGATTTAAATTTTGGCATGCATAAACAAAATTATAAATGTTTCAAAGTCCAATGCATTTAACCAAACTTCAATCAGATATATCCTAGCCCATATGTTTTGAGAGGCCTGTGTTTGCTCTGTTCCCAATATCTGTTTTTCAATGTATGTTTTAGTTTACATACTATTTGTTGGATCTTCAAATTCCATCTTAGTAGTTAGTTCCTTACAATGAATGCTCTCCTTAAAACGCTTTCAAAATTACACAAATAACCAAAAAGGCATTTTCATCTTATCTGCAGAGCTGCACGAAAAAGTGCAAAAATGTCTAACCAACTTTTAAAAAATGCTTGTTTTCCCTTTGTCGATTCAGATGGAAAAAAGTGGTTCGGTTTGTAGATGAGAAAAAAATAATCCTGGAAAATTTTCAACATCAATCCTTTTAACTCCAAGTTTTGATTACGTGTTTAAATGAGAAAATAGAGGATCTAATAGTATGTAAGGTATGAAAAAACTATATTTTCGAAATACATGTATATTTTTGTTTTGTCCCTAACATTTTCTCTCAAACACACTTAGGAACACTAAAATAGACAAATAATATTAAATGATTGTTCATTTATACGACAGTTGTAATATTATTATGAGTGCAATGCCAAAAAAATGTTCAAAACTTATTCTGAAAAGGTTAATAAATTGATCGGAGAGTAAAACAGATTTATATAAATACTCTAACTAGAAAAATATCTGACTGGGCGAAAAAGAGTAATTAGGTCATGTGAGATAAAAAGCAAATAGGCATACCAGATACCTGAGTATTTTTAGTGTAAATTCATCTTAAAGGTGTAGTGTAAATCTACAGCGTAATATCATATTAGCTGTTATGTTTTTATTTGACTTTAAAATCTAAAATCAAAGTACATTGTATGTATATCCACATATATTCAATGAGTTATAAAAATCCTCCTATTCTGTGTTTGTCTTTCATCCGAAATCTCAAACGCATTGTCAGTGGACAACAATATATTTCCATTTCTAAATTTTTTCTCTATAATAACCCTTTGAAAGTAAGCGGAGTTGATTTCCTGATAATTCTGCCGGAATGTAAATTAGGTAGGTCGATAGGTCAGCAGCTAAGGAGGTCTAATACGCATGCAAATCTCGTGCTCATCTGTCTCTGTGTCTGACGCTAAGAAGGCCAAATATGCATGTAAATGCCTTTGTGTTTGACGTCAGTGTACGAGAACTATTGAAATTGGCATGAAAGTCCTCGTGTATTTTAAATCGATTAGTCTACATTCTTAATGTCTAAGACTACAATTTTATTTCACAATGAAATGGAAATATAAGGAATCACTGTCTAGTTTTGAGAGTATGCCAGGAACATCAACAATAGTGGGAAACATGGGATAATTTTAGCAATTTTAGCAAATTATCCCATGTTTCCCACTATTGTTGATGCCCTGGCATACTCTCAAAACTAGACAGTGATTCCTTAAATAATGTATTCGTTTCTCCCGGTTAGTATCTTTTTTATTCAGTTTTCCTCGTCTACTTTTAAAAGCACTCCTGTCATTTATAAACCAAGACAATTAAAATTTATCCCTAGGTTACTATGGTGATTATGTAAAGGTTACTCAGATCTCAAATCTCAAATATTTTTTTGCATGATTTCAAATATTGTTTACAGGATAATTTTCGCCCCGCTTTATTTTCATCATTTAACACTTGCAAATGATGTTCCCCATTTTAAATTCACCAAGTCACAGTTTTGTTTAAAAAAATTATACTTTACAGTTTGAACTCTTCCCTTTTTAAATTCGTCCAAACGAGGTTAGAGCGAAAGATAAAACGAGGTGAAAATGTCCCTGTATATAATATCATATACCCATTTTCAGTTGCTATTTCTGGTACTGCAATGTCCTTTTACACAAATTGAAATTTAAGAACTGCAATTATTGGCCCTTCTCTCATGTTTGGATAAGGTTATAAGGTCTATAATCACTGGTTATTTTCATTATTATATCGATGAATCATATGTTGATAACGAACAGTTACCGAACAACAGTGCTCTTATTTTTTATTGTTTTTATGGACTTCTGATCTTGAATGCTGCTCATAACCTTAAGATCTTTGTAACGGTGCAAGTTATATTTGGTTAAAAATCAGTGAATTGCATTTTGATTCTTTAACCTACCTAAACTCAAAAATTGAAGCTATGCAAAATGTTTCTGATTCAAAATATAAAGATTTATTCAACATCACAATTTGCATTTACCGGCCATATGCCATAGAATATAGGCATGATAAGAGCGGATATAGACTCAGGTGTTCCCCTTTTTTTTTAAAACATTAGCATTGTTGTTTGTAGTCAGATATAAATAATAAATAATGAGCTCATAACACATGTTCGATTTATGCATGTTTATGCATGAATATTTACTTAAACGTTTTTATAATATTTATATGTACATACTCTGTTAGCAGTGACCCAGTTTCACAAGATGAGGAACTGCAATTAAATGTAAAAAAAAAAAAATAATAAATTCAATTATTTCAATCAAAAAACGTAATATTTTATACAACATTCATAATTTATGCACTGTTAACGTTAGAAACAGTAAGATAAAAATATTGATCGACATGGTAGAGCACAGACATTCCCCTTGATTTGTAGATAATGATTATGCAAGTCGGTCGTGCGACTGAAAACCGATTAATTTGGATTTCTGTTGGCTAGGACAGCTGCCATTTTCCACCAGTAAGCCAGTAAGAAGGTAACAGTTTGTCATCAAATTATATACATTAATTTTTTTTCTCCAAAATTTTTTTTTTCAAAACAAGAGAATAATATTTTCCTTTTCCCTTAAAACTGTCTAGTTCTGCACAAATTTTCAATGTATTCATAAACACTTTTGAGATAATGCAATTGTTGCCATGACATGCACATGTGAACTCGCAATTAAAGAAAGTCATTTTTATGTTACTTTCTTTATCTTACAATATTATCAAGATTAGCAGGAAATTCGTTATTGCATTCCATGCAGTTCAAAAAAAAGAGGAAAATATGAAATACATTGTACTTATATATAATTATCTCATCAATTATTACCTCATCAATTCATAAAAATCACATACAATTTACAAGTTGATCTACAAAACTTTTTGCTATTTACTATTGCTACTTTTGCTATTTACCAATTTTAGAGGCCAGAAGTCTAGACATGGACCCCCGTGCAAGTGCCCAGCATGTGATACACTGTGGCATATGTGAGACTGTTAAAGTACAGATGCACTGTGACACGTGTCTCGTAATCCTATGCAAGGCCTGTGTGGGAGAACACATCTCTACTGATGAATCTAAGGATCATAAAGTGGTCAAATATGAGTTGAATTCCACTCCTCTTTACCCCGAATGTGCCTCTCATGGAAAAGAACGATGTGAGATGTTCTGTAGAAACTGTGACAATTCCGTCTGTGGCAGTTGCCTTTCATCTGATAAACATATGAGCCATAAATTATCAAAAGTCGTAGAAGTTCTGGATGAAAAGAAAGATAAGATAAACAAATACAAATCTGAGTTAAATGAAAACGTCAACCCCAAATACCTGGAGATGGAATCTGATATACAAAACAGAATAAGTGAGTTAGAAAAGGAATATAAAAAACTCCTAACCTCCATAACAAACAGGGAGAGGTCTTGCAAGGAGAAATCAACAAACTTGTCAATCAACTTAAAAACCAAGTAGATGAAATGAAGAGATCGCAGTTACAAACTTTACAAAAAATTCTTGATGAAATTAACAAGAAAATTATTGACATAAGAGATGAAATCAATGTATTAGATATTGCAAAAGACTCAAATGACTTTTCAAAAATCATCAGCTTACAAGTCTCTATAGAACAACATAAAAACTTTCCAAAAATATCTGTTTTGTCTGCCCCAAATTTTACACCGAAAATTATCCAAGAAGACGAACTTTGTTCTCACTTCGGAAATTTCTCTTCAATTCCTCTTAAATCAAAACAATTTGGAAACAGTCCGGAAACAACAAAAGAAATCTCACTTAAATCACATAAGAAAAGTCCCCCTCATTCAGTTAAACAGGGATCAGTAATAGTTTCTCTTCCGTATAAAAAGCTGCGTAATGAACCAGAGATTTTCGACAAGCGCATTTATCATTATGGCTGCCTTCGAAATATTGCATGTTTTGGAGATGAAAAAATATGGGCATGTGATGAAAGCTGTACCATGACTCTCTACAGCATAAATCAGGGTTTAATCAAGTCAATCAGAACAAGGACAATAGACAGGAGCCCAACAGACATAGCAGTCACAAGAAGTGGAGAGCTAGTGTATACAGATCAATGGGAGAGAACTATTAACATTGTGAAGAGTGGAACTAAAGAAGAAGTGATAAGATTAGACAAATGGAAACCTCTAGGCGTCTGTAGGACCTGCTCCCGCGACCTTCTCTTTACTATGGAAAGTGATGATAAACAGTCCAAAGTTGCCCGATACTCTGATTCAACAGAGAAACAATCCATTCAGTTCGATGATAAAAAGGCACCTCTTTATTCATCGGATGGTTCTCATAAATTCATATGTGAGAACAGGAATCTTGATATCTGTGTGTCTGACTGTGGAGCTAAAGCAGTAGTGGTGGTCAATCAGGCCGGGAAACTGAGATTCAAATATTCTGGACAAGCTCCACTTCCAAGGTCTAGAGCATTCAATCCAAGAGGAATCACTAGAGACAGTCAGAGTCACATCCTCACGACTGATTATAATAATAACTGTGTCCATATAATAAGCGAGAATGGACAGTTTCGTCGTTACCTAAATTTACCATTTTATGCTCTTGGTGGGTTGTGTACAAATACAGATGACACTCTGTTTCTTGTTGCTTGGAAATATTTCTTCAGTCTGTCAAGCTCTCTTGAGAAAATCAAATACCTGTATTAACTGACATTGGTCACTTACCGGACAATTTGTTCAGAAATAGAAAATAATAAATAAAACATAAAGGGGATATACCTGGTATTTTTTTTTCATTTTGCCTTGTTCGGTGGATTTCATACATGCCGTTGGGTTTGAAAAATAATGCATTTCACACAGTAAAAGTCAAAATTGGGATGTAAAACGGGTTGGCAAATCATGATCAAATCTTCCATAAAGTTGTTAATAATCCTACATCATGACACTAGATAAGTAAACATTAATTTTCATCATTGCTGATATGACGTCATAAAGTTGGTAAAATTAGTCTAAAAACGTCCCCTTTTTGATAGGGAACTATATTTACCCGTGATATAAATTCAAAAACCGGCAGTGAATCAATCACTATACAGTACCGACCAGACCCAACCTGACACAAAGCAGTCCCAGAGCAGTCCCGGGGACTGCTTTCTGGGACTGCTAAAGCAGTCCCACAGCAGTCCCAGAGCAGTCCCACAGCGGTCCCAGCAGTCCCAGCGATCCCAGAGAGCAGTCCCAGCAGTCCCAGAAAGCAGTCCCAGCAGTCCCAGTGGGCGGGGTTTATTAATCTAATGGGCGGAGCTAACTCAGAAATGAGATTTGCAATAAACAATGGAACTATAAGAGGCAGTAGAAATTTGATTCTGGGTAGTATGCCGGGGCTCCTTACATGTATGCGAAGGGCATTTATGAACAGTACGCGCAAAAAAAACAAATTGAATGATTATTATTGAAGGAAGAAGGGTTTCACAAGTACATGTATGAATTAAACTGACCATGAACATTTAATCACAGTTATCGGGTGTATTAAATAAATAATTCAATTTCTTTATTTTCTGTGATTTATACTGTGTCCCATTTATTTTTTATACAGAAAATTAAACGTGAATTAATTTTTTTCCACCACTAAGAAAAAGATTTAAATAGATCTCATCATTATTTGGCCAATTTCCATACTAGCGGGATTTTAGAAAATTCTTTTTTAATTTTGCCAAATATTTTTTTTTTCAGTCATGATTATTTTTACTGACATGTCAATCTAATTATTGTTAATATTTCTATCTCTTTAATACTCAGTTTTAAGCGTTTTATTTGTAAATGTTAGAATGCACATATCTAATTCACCAGAATCGAACCATCAGATTATGTTCAAAATTAATTAATCCTGAAAGAAATTCAAACACATTTTAGTAATCAATTTTATTTCTGCATTATATACCGGTAGATGGAAATTAGGGTCATTGTTGACCAGCATGTTCAATGATGTGAAACGCTTATAGGTATACCAAAATAGCATGCACTGATTTTCTGCTTTAAGGCGATTGAAACCGCGGGTGTTGATACCAAGTAATAAACATTAATCGGCCAGGTACATGTAAACACAAGCAAAAGAAAAAAATTCCCGGTATTTTCAACTCTTTATTTATAAAATAAATGTTCTCTTTTGATAACTTGTTTATAAATTAAAAACTACCGGTAATTCATTAATAAATTCCCCGATGATTATTCAAATTGTTTGAGCTATGGAAGAATGGTAGCATAATTTTATTTCCTGGTCATTTAATAAACTGTTAGGCTTTATTTTAGGGTTGCCTGGGATACTTTTCTAGAGTGGTGCTCGTAAAACATGAAGCTTTTCAATTAAAAATATCATATCTAACTGTATAAGGATTATTTTTAAATAGTGTCAATGCAAATTTTGAGTGCACATAATTTTACAATAAATAATAAAATAGACCTACATGTAGATATTTTTCTCATAAACCTATAATTTATTTTTAGGCATAAAAATCTACATTTGCAATTGACTTCCTTATTTTAAAAAATATATTTGTGTAAATGTACAGTCTCTGAAAATATTAACTATAATAATCTCTTCTTATGGAAAGATTGTAAGAAACCTTGCATTTTTAATAGTTTAAACTCCTCTCTGCTGCTAGTAAACAAAACAAGTGGGAGCCTGCAAATTCAGAATACACAAGGGGGCGGAGCTATCATGTCACTCAGAACTTCTTTCACGCATGAGTGAACAAAGCAGTCCCAGAAAGCAGTCACAGGGACAGCTGGGACTGCTGGGTCTGCTTTTTAGAGCAGTCCCAGGGCAGTCCCAGAGCAGTCCCACAGCGGTCCCAGAACAGTCCCACAGCAGTCCCACAGCGGTCCCAAAGCAGTCCCGGGGGACTGCTTTCTGGGACTGCTTTGGTGTCAGGTTGGGTCTGGTCGGTACTGTATAGGTCATATAACTTCCATGTTATACAAGGTCATAATCTATATTAAGAAACATAGCTTTTATCCTAAAATACCTGACAAAAATACTTTACAGTCCTTTTATCTCTAAATTTACACAACTATGATGTAATTATTATCAAATACAGTTCAATGTTTATATATATATTGAAATTTATGTTTTAAAACATTTGGTCCATAGTACGTGATTATTTGGGTCCATTGGCCTCTTGTGATATTTTGTAGATAAATTCCAATTATAAAACAAGTACGTCATCAAGATGGTAGATAGAATTAGGTTTGTTTGCGGAGAAATAATAACCCAGATGCAATAATATTGCTTGTCACGAGTTGATCGTGTAGAGTAGCCTTTCTCTACCCATTCATTTCACAGGTAAGATACCTCTTACACACTTTTTCCAATATATACCAAAGACTACCAAAGAATAAATATTCCTTTGAAGAATAAAAATATATGAAACTATGGTTTTATTTGATAAGATCAGACAAAACGTTTATATGCCGTGTCATCTAATAACTTGAAACTGTTATTATGCACAAAGATCAATAACGATCAGAGTAGGCATGTTATATAACTGGAATGAAACGGGAGAATAAGATACCCCTGACAGGAAATCTCTACCCAGAGTTATTCTGCACGCTAAGCTTGATCTAGATTAGCGACCTCTTGTGAGAGATTGAGTCACGTGACGCAAAAGCATCAACATTGTGTTGCATATCCGTTGGCAAGGAAAGCAGACATTTACTTAGTTCTAGTCAGGTAAGAAGTCTTGGATAATCGATTTCAAATTTATTTCAAATTGATTTTTTCATATTTTGCGCATATATTTTGAAATTAGGACAGTTAAAATTTCTTTTTTTGTAAACGATTGAAAAAAATTTTGAATTTATTTATTTGAAAATTCTATTTTATTTTATTTTTATTTTTTATTCAGTTTTTCAATCGTTAAACAAACTTTTTAAAAAAAATTATTGAAAAGTTTCATTAGACCTATGTAAATTTTGTTAAAGACTTGTATAGTCAATATAGTGTCTTGTGTGATCAAATTTTTTTTTTTATTGATGCAGTTTATTGAAGTGTCTGAAAGTATATAAGCTCGCACCCCCCTTTTGAAATGCAAATCTTCTATTACCAAAATCAACCATTAGACCAATTGGATTAAATTATGGACAACTTTCACTTTTTGAATCATATAATAAAAACTATGTGAAAAGTAAACGTCAAACGTCTATAATCAATTTCAGGCTGTTTTCCTACCGGATTACTCAAGCGTTAAGTAATAACAGAATATTAACAGCATGTTGAGGAAAAGTTATGTTGTATAGTGGTTTTTTTTTTTTATCTATCAAATGCTTTTGATAGAGTATGACGTAAAAGGTCTTCTAAGCATAAACACTTTGGATATTTGGTGATCCTTTTGACTTACATTAAAGTTATCTGAATAATGAAATTCTGGAATTTGTATGCAGACGTATACTATTAGTTCCTGTACAAATACTTTAGGTTTTATTTTTTATATCGATTTTGATAAAGTGAATGAAAATAAGTTGTCACTATGAAGATCATTGGCGGAAGCGAATTCTACTAACGGTATTCAAAATCAAACAATTTGCAAAGTAATTGAACAACATCCATAAAAGAAATGAAATTAATTTTCTGTATTAATTAATTTTTAAGATAGTTCTCTCCTATTGTATTGCCCATCAGTCACTGTTCTAATGCGCAAATCACTTGATCAAGGTGGTCACATGACATGTTCCGTAGCGTTCAATTCACAGAAGCTGAAAGATTTATCCGACTTTTAAATTTGAAATGAGTAATTTTTAGAACAAATTTATTCCATGGAAGAAATTTTAGCTGTATTTTTTTATACCTAAAAATATTTTTGATCCAGTTTGTCACTGAGAGTGTGAGAGTGTGGAAAGAACTAACCTGCTGTTCAATCCATGTCCATTGTATATTATTTTCTATATTATGAATAAGATACTGTTTAAACAATAAACAAACAAAATTAGAGTGTTTATTTGCTATCATATCCCTGATTAACTTTTCCCCAGATGATAGCAGTTTTCAGATTATATGATTATCACACATAAATAGTGCATATAAAAAGCTTTGTCTTTTAAACACTCCAATTCACTCCTTAAACATTCTTTCTAAAAGATATACAATTAACTTTTGTAAGGCCACATGTTGAATAGTAAGTTTGCTTCAATTTTCTTTTTAGAATCGATATAAATTTACACTGTGATGTCAAATATTGGCGATTCCTCAACGTACAGCTACATGTCATACTATTTTATTAGTTTGTAGACAACTAACATGTTTCATGAAAAATAAGAGAAAAATCCCTTTCAACAAGAAGAACATCAAATTTGATTTACAATATTCAATATATACAACCTTGTTTTGTAGCTTGCTTAAAACATTCTATTTTCAAATGACCCTAGGAATATTTCGCTTTTATTATTTACTATAATAGAAAAACTAAACAATCTACCGAAAGAGACCACATCTATGCGTAATACATGAAAATTATAGTATTCATTTTATAAAAACACATCTCCTTCATATCGGACATGCGTTTCTCGTGTGGTAAATATATTGAAATGTATACTACACAACAAATTATAAGACGTTTAAAATATATAAGTACCAATCATGCATGTGGTTCAATCTGATCTTTCTTTTTTTTGTTCTTTTTTGCATACAAAGAAAAAGAACACCTATGAAATGAGCTAGTCAAAAGTTTTCATCATCTTAACTATTTGTTTTTAATTAATACTCATTTTTTTTATTTATTGGAAAATGAATCAATTCTACTGATTTAAATGAGAATTCATTTTGTAGCTTTCACAGATTTTCTTATTTTTAGGTAGATTTTGATTCAGAATATCTGTCTTGGACTTATCAATATGGTTAAAAATTCTAAAGTCATATCGAATCTATGAATCTATCAAAATTAACCATTCCTGAGTAAGTCACTACCCTTTGGCGCTTGTATCCGAAGCTGGAATTATTACACAGTCCTGATAATTTGTGATATCTACCTTTTTAATATTTGTTTGGAAATGCTTTTAATTAATATTATATCAGGCTAATCTATCTTGCTCCTTAAGTCGACTTTCGATCTTGAATCAGTCTGTAGTTTAAAATTTAACGAAGCAAATCGATTTCCTATAGCAACAAATAAAACGTTTTTGTTTCTTTGAAATAAGTAAATATATTGAACAAATGAGCTAAAGTTTCAATATTATCACAGTAGGAACATTATGATGAATCAATAATGTGCAGTACAAAGGTACTGGTACCTGTATTTTCGGTAGTTTGCCTTTATGTGAAGATTATTTTGAATATAATTAAACTTATAAATACTACATATATGAATTCAATCTTTAACAAAATTCCTATATAAAAAGTAAACAGTTTCTAAAAAAAGGAACCAACAGTAAACAGGTCTCTGGCTAGTTTAGAATTTAAAGATGATCATTTTTTTTCAAATGATGATATTTATCAACATAAAATAATTTTTCTCGTTTTTCAATTTCATGCAGGTATGGACCCCAATACTAGTTCTCAGGATGTAATGCGATGTGACCTGTGTGAGACTGCTATAGCACATATGTATTGTTATACATGTCTCAATAGCCTGTGCAAAGCTTGTGTGGGAGAACACATTTCTGTTGATGAATTGAAGGATCACAGACTGCTCAAATTTGAGTCTAGAAATTCCACTCCACTCTACCCCAAATGTGCCTTCCATGATATAGAGCGATGTGAGGTTTACTGTAGGTACTGTAACATTCCTGTCTGTCACACCTGTCTGGCATCTGATCAACACCTTGGTCATAGATTATCAAAAATCTTACAAGTTCTGGGGGAAAAGAAAGAAATGATAATTAAGCAGCGAAATCAATTAATTGACAACATTTACCCGACCTATCAGCACATTGCAGATGATGTTAAAAAAGGAATAAATAAGCTAGAAAAAGAATATAAAACTAGAAACGATCTCGTTGCGAGCAACGAATAGGTCTTCCGTCCGATTCCGAAAATAACCCATAATATAGGGCTAAAAATGGATGAAACATATTTTGGACACACTGGTAATTGAAACGGGTCACTAGTGTGAAAATCCAATAAGCTTATCGATTACGCTATTTGAACAACTACTCTTACTTCACTTGTTTGTACATATAATTCTGCAACATTTAATCTGTCTTGGAATTATGAAAGAAGGGCCACTATTCATAATTTCGCGCCAAACGCATCGAGTAAATCTTAGCGAATTTCTCTTGGAATGTTATTTTAAATAGGTGAGATAGCTTCAATCAAATAACAAAAGAGCGTTCTTATCGCCTAAATTTTTAGGTGTGGAAAGTATAACACATACATGTACCATATCGTATATAGGCAAATTACACTAAAGCAGTGAAACAGCTATGAATGGTTAATTTTTCATTTTCAATCACGAAAGTTGACTATTCCGATTACTTACACTTTCATGAAAAAGGTGGTGTGTTTCACCGAGAAAAAAATGCCTCGACCGCCCTACGAGGGTCTAAAAATAAGATTCCATTATGTTCAATAACTTGCATTGAGAAAATAAAATGTTTATATAGGCCAATTAAACTGTCTTTGAAAAATTGTTATCTTTAAAAATAAAATATTTTCTTATTGTAACAGTTGTCCCTTCTATTGATTTAATATGACACAAGTGTGCATGGGAAAACAGTGGTCACGTTTTTTACTTACTACATTCTTGAAAAACTATTAATTATAACTATGATTTAAGTTATGTGTTACCGTGATGCAAAACAAAAGATATAGATATTGTACTTCATTTGCACATTAATTCTTTTCTATTTCTACTTTGAGAAACAACCAAAACCAACTAAAGAAGACTTGTAAGTAGACCTTGGATAATAAATGTAGTTTGACACCGAATTGCAACGAACCTACGACGTGACAATCTAAGTATCCCTACACATTTCATTGCTCCTTATGTTACTTTCGTTCAAGCAAACGCTCAGCTGCCTCTGTAAACCCCTATTGCGAAATGTCGGAATTGACAGAGACCGCCGCCATTAAGATCCCGCTTCAGACTTTTGAATGTTAATATCTCGAGTTCGAATTCATGAATTTACAAACACATTATATATTCAGCCTAATGAGAAATGTTTCTATCAACCGTACTAATATGATTTGAAAATATTGAAAAACAAAAAAGTTTAAAAATTTGACTTTTTTTCTTTGCATGTCATTACGACAGGAAGTAGAGACGACGTACAAAAGATCGCGTCTTGGATAGTACTTATCACAATCTATAATCCCTGAAAGTTTCACAGTGATATCTTTTACCGTTCCTTAGATTATCCGCGAACAAAATGTCAATTTAAATTCAGAAAATTGTCCGTAACTTGGCACCAGAATGGAATTTCCAAAAAATCTCCAGGATATAATAACTGCAGATAGCAACACATTGTTCCTGCAATTTTCATAAAAATCCATCCAGTAGTCTTTGAGAAATCACGTGCACAAAATTTGATGGTCAGAAAAATAATAATTATAACGAGCTCAAGAGAGCTTCAACGCCTTTTGCGGTGGAAAGATATAGACTCAAAAAAGCATTTTAGCAATCCTTCCGCTACCTTCACTGAAAATCTCAAGTCAATATCTTCATTCGTTTTTTAGTGATTGCCCGGACAAGCTGACCCTCTTAAAATCAGTAAATCGTCCATATCTCACGACCGGAAGTGACGACGTACTTATAAAAAATTTCCAATAAGGTTCAGACCAATATCTATCAGATCTGAAAGTTTCGTGAAAATCGACCAAGCCGTTTCCGAGAACTCGCGTGCACAAAAATCGGTAAGAAAAAAAATAATAATAATAAATAATAGGGAAAAAGAAACCGAACGAAAACAATAAGGTCTTCCGTTGGAAACGGAAGACCTTAATTATCTCAGAGGCCATCACAAAGCGTGGGCATTACTGGCACAGAAAAGTTGATAAAGTTGTAAAGAAACTTAAATCCCAAGTTGATGAAATGAAGACCTCTCAGTTACAAACTTTGCAGAATCATTTGGTTGAAATCAACACGAAAATTATTGAAATTAAAGATGAAATTGATTCATTGGATCGATGCATTGCTGAAAAAAACAATGACATTGCAAAATTAATAGGTGTAAGACCCAAGACAGATCAATATCAAAAGCTTCCACAAAAAATTGTACCCTCACTACCCCAATTTATTCCAAATACAATTCAAGACGAAACATTAAGTCATCAATTAGGAAGCATATCACCATTTTCATTTATATCAGAAGATTACGGTTACATATTGAAACCAAGGCAAGAAATGCAAAAAGCCGGTTCCTCTCGGTTAACTAAAACGAAATCACCAGATTTTGTATTCCATCAGATTTACATTGATATTTTCCATCTTACAAACAATCCTCAAAATATTTCCTGTCTTGGTGATGATAGATTGTGGATATGTGATAATAGCAATATTATAGAACTCTACGATGTAAAGGAGCATTCACAAAACCGGTTTATCAAAACGAAGACAAGGGCCATACCAGAAGACATAGTGTTAAGAAGCGGAGACTTAGTTTATACTGATGGCATGTATAAAACAGTAAACATCGTTAATAATGACGAGATACAAGAGTTGATCAGACTTCAGAACTGGAAACCTCGTAATGTCTGTAGCACTTCCTCTGGTGACATTCTGGTTACTATGGAAAGTGATGACAACAAACAAACAAAAGTTGTTCGATACACCGACTCTATAGAGAGCCAAACAATTCAATTTGATGATGAGGGAAAACCACTCTATTCCTCTGGCCTAAACATGTACATGTGTGAAAATAAGAATCTGGATATATGTGTAGCTGACTATGGTGCTAAAGCAATAGTGGTGGTCAATCGGGGCGGGAAACTGATATTCAGGTACACTGGACATACTCCTTCTCCTAGGAATGAAGCATTCTGTCCACAAGGAATCACTACAGACAGTGAGAGTCACATCCTTACAACTGATTATGGTAATCGCTGTGTCCATATCATGGACAAAGATGGACAGTTCCTTCATTATCTGACCCTTGGAAAAAATAAACCGTATGGAATCTGCACTGATACAGCTGACAATCTTTTTGTTATTTGCAAAGAGAAAAAAGTGTATGATTTGTGTTACACACATAGTTGCATTATGAAAATCAAATACATGTGGTGAAAACAAATATACTAATAATCATTGTAATGACACACTTCAATGTATAAAGAATGATTAACAGTACTTATTAATGATTTGTATACTTCAATTTTGTTTCAAAAAGGTTGCTGTATTGCAATTAGCACTGAAATATTTATGAATAGCATGTCCTTTACTATTCCTTTTTAATTTTTTTATATACAGACACGTGCCATAAGTATTCAGTCAACATGGCGGTTTGTTTACGCTTGACAACGAAAGTGTCAAATTTCAAACATTCGCTGTATTGATTGATTGATTATATACTGTTTAACGTCCCTCTCCAGAATATTTCACTGATATGGAGACATCACCATTGCCGGTGAAGGGCTGCAAATTCAGGCCTATGTTCGGCACTTAGGGCCATTGAGCAGGGAGAGATCTTTAACGTGCCACACCTTCTGTGACACGGGGTCTCGATTTATACAGTTTCATCCGAAGGACCGCCCCATTTAGTCGCCTTTTACGACAAGCAAGGGGGTACTGAGGACCTATTCTAACCTGGATCCCCACGGGGCCAAACAAACAAACAAACAAACATTCGCTGTAATGAAATAAAGTAATGGAAAATATAAATTATGTTAAACTTACTTGTTAATACTTCGTAAGATGTCCCTTGAGCCTGATTACATTCAAAATTCTGTTTGGTATGGACTTATAGAGGTTCGGAACATAGTAAGGTCGGCTGCTTGTCCAAATGCCCCGAATTTCATCCACGAGATCTTTAGATTTAATGTGTTTTACGGTATGACCGTTGGGGCGAGCGCAGTTTATTTACTATCATAAGCCTACACATGTACTGTGTATCATTCAAGAAAAAGAAACAAGAAAACGAAACAATAAAAATATATCACTTCCCAGGCATTTGAACGGGATCAAGATTCCAAACTTCTCGGAAGTTTCCGACAAAATCGGTAATTCCCGAACCGTTGAAGTGACGAAAGTATGACGTCAGATAAAAAGTCTTGTTGACTTAGGTTTTATGGAATGGAGATTGCATTAAATCGTTGTTTGTATTTTTTTCAAGTAAGTTGTTGCTATGTTTTAACTTCCAAGTTGCTATGCACCTCAAAGCATTATTGGGAGTTTGGAATTTTTTCACGCGGTGAGATAAAAATTTCTTGGAACAATGTGCAGATTTCAACCCGAATTTCCTCTGTTCGTACACGTTAGTCTATTGAGCTCGCTGCGCTCGCTAATAAAGGGAAATTGTGTCTGAAGTCTTCTTTTTATCAATAGCCAAAAGTTTTCAATAATATTAATATGTGGCGACTGGGCAGGCCAACTAAAGCAATTTATTCCATGGGCAATAGATTGTTGAGTAGACCTTGCTCGGTGAACGGGGGCATTGTCATCCTGGAAAAAAATATCCACTCCTAGGAAAATGTCGAGCAATCACTGGCCACAGGTTCTCTTCAAGAATGTCCTGATATTTTTCTGCATTTATGTTACCATTCACAGGTGTAATTGTCCCAACGCCATTCCAAGAAATACACCCCTTTATTAACTTTATTCCAGTTATTCTGAACTGTACTTCGCCTTTTCTCTCTGCGCCATGCCAGTCTCTTTCGTCGGTTAACCTCCTTCACAACCAGTTTTTTCTTACTTACACATCTTCTATATTCATGATTATGCAAATGACGCTGAATAGTCCGCTTACATAAAGTTTCACTTTCAGTCCTGCCTTCATTAACTGTTGATGTGATATCACTTAAAGACTCCTGACGATGCGTTTTCACAAGCTTTTCTAAACCACAGTAATCCCTTTCTTTCATTTTCGCCGGCCGCCCACTTCTCGGTTTGTTTTTACACTGACCCTGTGGCAAAAAAATAACTTTTGTGCTACATCGATAACTGTTGATTTTGAGATTTTAAACATATCACTGACCTTGTGACGGGAAAGACCATTCTGTATCAAATCTATAATGATATTTTTCGCCTCCATCCCAAGTTCCTGCCCTTTTCGACCCGTATTTTAAAAAAATTAATTTTGACAACTTGCGCTAACTACAGATGACAACAAATTATCATGTGTTAAGTCATGTGACTAAAAGTCTAAATTTAGGATAATTCGTCATCGATGACGTGTACATACAGAAACAGGAGACTCGAAATATTTACTTTCGTTTTCAAGCGTAAACAAGTCGCCATGTTGACCGAATACTTATGGCACGTGTCTATAGATCAATTGTTTGAAGGCTTTCAATACAAAATACCAGAGGAATATGACAAGACAACTGATGTATTTTTATAAGTGCAAAACAGTGCAAATGATAATCGATAAAGTTCCATAAGAATAAAACTTTTTTTCTAAATAAATGCTTATATTGGCATGAGACTGGAGTTCGGTCCTTCAAAAGAAACCATATAAATTGAGGTCCTTTGAAAACGTCGGTGCTGGCACGAAAAATATCCCCATCACTGCATGCTCAAAGGATGTAAAAGCTAAGTACATATCAAAATTTCAAGCCTTTCACTGGAAAGTGCTGTCATCTCAAAATGAGTGAACACTCATGAATGGAACGTTAAACAAATAGACAAACAAATAAATTGGAATTATTTAGTCTAATAGTCTATAATGATATACTATGAAATGTTTCGATAGCTGATGATTTATGTAAATCTATTTTGGCTAAAGCTGGTGCTGGATTCTGCTACCAGACAAATGTGCGATTTGCATGACCTTTTAAAAAAAAAATATTGATCTTTGATTGTTTACTGTTTTGCAATATTTGGAACTAGATAAGTTATGGCATTCGATATTATAAAAAACTTGGTAAATTGTCTTTTATTTTTACTTGACCAGGTATCTTTTGCAGTTCTACTTGGATGTTAATTCTTAAATAAATGCATTTTTTATTTTTAAAGACGTTGCTTCTAACAGTTGTTTTACAATAATCACCTTTATTCAATAGCGCCTGGCTCGATAAACCGGTACTAGATTTTATGATTTTTGCCCTCTAAAGTTGTTTTTTTTTTATCACATAATAGTTTCCTTTTTAACCCTGAGGGATGGTAGTCACCATGATTTAATTGTCTTAACATCATACGAGGGGCATTTCAAAAGTCCTGAGAACTGTTTAATAAAAAACATCTGTTTTACGGATATTATTTAATTTGATATCATTGGAAAGATCAGAAAAATATACGCATATTGTGACGTCACTTCATAATTTCTATGACGTATTAAATCCGAAAATGACGTCATACTTTCGCATGCTTACAATACTGGCCATAAAAATGACGTAACAAACGACATAATTTCATCAAATTAAATTTTTAAAAGAACGTTTGCACATTACTCAGGCGCAAGCTGTAGGACGTAAATGCCATTTGTTAGAATCTTTACATAGGCTACAATCAATCATATGGTGGTCTATTTCGGAGATCTTGTTCTGAAATGGTTTAAGCGATTATCAAACATAGCATGTTTTTATCGAATCTTGCTCAAAATATTGCGTAAAACAGACCTAACTGTGAGAATATGGCAAAGTTGGCAATCAAAGAAAAATAGACGATCGTGTTACAAAATTTGATGGCATCAATTCGTCAGGTGTATTAACCAGATTTGTAGGATCGATGAAGGCTCAAGAGAAGTTACACATGAAGAAACAAGATCTTTCAGTTAAAACTGAGAGGCGGCTTTCAGTGACTTTTCAGTGGCCATTCAGCCACTGAATGGCACATAAATTTCAGTGACCTTTCAGTTGTCTTTCAGTCACATTATTTCAGATACCTTTCAGTCACCATTCAGCGGACACATTTCCGTCAACTTTCAGTTGCCTTTCCATCAACTTTCAGTGACCTTTCAATCAACTTTCAATGACCTTTCCGTCAACTTTCAGTGACCTGTCTTTCGTCTTTCAGTTACCTTTCCGCCATCTTTCAGTGATATTTAAGTCTCAATTTAGCGATTTTTATATATCAATTTAGTATTTTATAATCAGATATATTTTAATTAAAGATTGATTATTCAATCTAAATTGTGATTTTTTTTACTTATCGTGATTAAATTCGGGTACCTTGAAATATGTCTAAATATTATAATTTCATAAAATGTATGATACTTATTCAAAATGATTTTTAATTTTCTAATTAGATTTAGATGACAAAAACTCTTCAAGAGATAAAAAAAAATGATAATCCGATAATCGAATCAAAAGTTAAACAAATGCCGCATAAAATTCTATAGTGCTTATACGGGTATTTTTAATGGAAATATATAGTTTTGATTTATGAGACAGAATTTATATTATTTCTACTATGGAAGATCCCAAATATTACTGATAAATTTCGTTTCTTAATTAATTGTCAAAACCGCAGGATATTTAGCTTTTGAAAAACAGTATTTTAAATTCATTTTACATTAATAGAATATAT